TTGGTGTTGACAACACCAAGTCAAGGGTTAAGATCCCCTTACCGGTCACCTTTAAAAAGAAAATAAAAATAAAATAAAATAAAATAGCTGGAGAAAGGGATTTATTGAAGTTAAAATAAAGGTTTTTATAAGTCAAACGAAAGCAAGAGAATTCATTCCCTACCGACCTACAACTAAAATAAATCCTAAGAAAGTGCTTCAGGAAGGAGGGAATGATACCAGGTAGAAATTTCATCTACACAAAAGAAGTGGTAGATAGGTTAATGTCATTGATTCTTTCTGAATTTTTAGATGTATTTAAGAAATAATTATTTAAAGCAAAATAATAACAATGTGGTGTGGGATTTATAACATGTAGAAATAAAATGTGTAACAATAATAGTACAAAGGAGAGAAAGGGAGAAATAGAAGTAAACTTCTGTAAGGTTCTTACAGTAAATGTAAAGTGGCATAATATTATTTGAAGGGGTAGTGTGGTACGTTCAAGATGTACATTGTTAGCCTTAAGAGCAAGCACTAAAAAATGAAAGGTAATAAGCCAGTAGTGAGAGAGAGAGAGATAAAACTGAACCATAAAAAATACTGAATACATGGCTGACCAGTTACCTCAGTTGGTTAGGAGTGTGGTGCTGATAACACCAAGGTCGAGGGTTGGATCCCTATACTGGCCAGCTACTTCACCCCCCCCAAAAAAAAAATCAAAGGAGTGCAGGAAAAGAAGAAAAAAGGAAGAAAGAACCAGTGGGACAAATAAGAGACAAATAGCAAGATGATAGATTTAAGACAAATCATATTAATAATTACATTAAACAGAAATGGTCTAAATAATCTAGTTAATCTAGTTAAAAAGAATAGCTCTCCAGGTTGTATGATAATGCTTTTAAAAGTAAAAGTATGGAAAGGATGTGCTCTCTGTACATTATCAAAAGTAAGCTGGAATAGCTATATTACTACACATCAAAGTAAACTTCAAAATAAGGAGTATTACCAGGCACAAGTTCATCAGGAAAAGATCAGCCGAACCCTCGGACGGGAGCGCCGCTGCGCTTCCCAAGCGGCGCACTATCCAGTGAGCCACCGGGCCGGCCCGTATGATAATGCTTTTAAAAGTAAAAGTATGGAAAGGATGTGCTCTCTGTACATTATCAAAAGTAAGCTGGAATAGCTATATTACTACACATCAAAGTAAACTTCAAAATAAGGAGTATTACCAGGCACAAGTTCATCAGGAAAAGATCAGGAATCCTAAATGTGTATGCATATATATACTATTAACAAAGCTTCAAAATACATGAAGCAAAAACTGATAGAACTTCATGGACAAATACACAAATTCATAACAACTTGGAGATTTCAGTAGTCCTCTCTCAGTAATGGATAAGGCAATGATATTGAAGACTAAAGCAACATATCAACCTATTTGACCTAAACAACATTTAAAAGCAGTGTACTCAGCAACAACAGAATACACATCCTTTTGATGTGCGTATGGAACATTCACCAAGATATACCATATTCTCAGCCATAAAACCAGTTTTTAATAAATGTTAAAGGATTGAAGTTATACTGTTTGTTCTCTGGCCACAAAGGAATTAAACTAGAAATCAGTAACAGAAAGAGATCTGGAAAATTCCCAAATACTTAGAAATTAAACACTACCCATAAGTTAAAAAAAGAAATCAAAAGGGAAGTTAAAAAATATTTGGGGCTGAATTGAAATGAAAACACGATATAAGTGGGCTGGTCGGTTAGCTCAGTTGGTTAAAGCACGGTGGGTAACACTGAGGTCTGGGGTTTGATCTCTGTCGTACCATCCTGCAAAAAAACTCAAAACAAAACCTAATATTTGTCAGTTCTTAGGGAGAAATTTATAGTGTTAAGTGTTTATATTAGACAAGAAGAAAGGTCTCAGTCTCCTATTTTAAGAAACTAGAAAAAGAGGAGATTAAACCCAAAGAAAGCAGAAAGAAGGAAATAATAAAGATAATAGTGAATATCAATTACATAGAAAACAGGCAAACCACAGAGAAAAACCAAAAGCTGGCTTTTTGAAAAGACCAATTAAACTGATAAATCTCTAGCCAGACTAGTTGAGGGAAAATATGAAATTAAGTATGAATTACCAATTCCAGGATTGAAAGAGGGGACATTACCACAGATTCTACAGTTATTAAAATGATAATAGGGGAATATTATGGACAACTTTATGCTAATGAGCTTGACAACTTGGATGAAATGGAGAAATTCCTTCACAGACACACGTGACTAAAGGTCACTCAAGAAGAAATAGAAAACCTGAATAATGCTGTATCTGTTAAAGAAATTAAATTTGTAGTTATAAAAACCT